ATAATAATAATAATAATAATAATAATAATAATAATAATAATAATAATAAAATAATAATCCACGAATAACGACACCGTTAGCACCAGTGGCATGCATTCTATCGTCATTAGCTTAGACGAATCACAGACGCACTTTTATTTCGCGGTTATTTCCCTCCCAATTCCATCTTTAGTTTCAGCAGGCCGGACATCGTCTGTAAACTGGTTCAGATAATACGCAACGGTCCCTCACCTGATGAACCTCTGGAAAGCCAATTTCAGTGAGTTCTCATTTTACCCGTGGTGCCTAGCGCTGTTCTTCACTGCTTTTCACCATTGCTTATGTCTTGCGTGTTGCCTAAATTCGATGGAGATGTTCCACACGAGATTTTCTTCGAGTGTTCGGCCCTTTTCCTTTGGCGTTTTGTTAGTGTTTTCTGTGAGCGTTGTTTTTATATCTCACCAACGTCGTTTGCATGTGTGCGTGCACGAAAATCCTTGGGTGTTTCAGGAGACGTGGATGGACAGCGATATCTTTGGTTTTCGACAAATTGCCTGGACTAGACGGTAATCATTAGGACTAAGTCAAATTCTAGTTTATTTGAGGGCAGCGCACGTATAGTGTGAAGTGATTGTTGATGAGGATATTATTAATAGCTCCGATTGGCACTCGCTGACACTTCTCCTCGTTGCCCTCCAGTCTGCAACAAATCGCCACGGAAATTCTGACAAGCGACGAACTGAGCATCCAGGACGCGCTAGTGCAGAACCCCGAGGCGTTGGCATGTCTCTACGCCATCCTGCGTGACGACGACTCGCGCCTCCTGCCACTCACGGCCGGCTTCCTCCACCGCATCCTCACGGTCCTCTGCAACCGCAGTTTGAACCTCGACGTGATCGAATACTTCGTGTCACAGCCCGACTTCGTCGACAGCCTCGTCAGGCACGTGGGCATGGCGGCAGTGCCGGACATTCTCTTCCGCTTCATCCAATCCGGTCCGTACTTCAAGTACATGGCGCTCTGTGAGGTAAGTCAGGCCCAACCAATCGGGAATGCTTTCTCACTCGGCGTCTTTGGAATCGATTTCTAATAATAGAGGGGTAATTCATCCTAGCCAACGCGGTTCAGCTTCTAACAAAGTGGTCAACTCTAGCCACTTGACCGTTTGCCTCGTCGTTTTAGTGCCTGGACAACCAGGATCTCGTGCAGAAGTTGCTCGACGTCCTTTTAGAGGGTTCCGACGACGACGAAGACGGTGTCCGAGCCCCAGCCTGCAGCTGCCTCTGCCAACTTCTCGCCGAGTGCCGCCAGTGGAAGTTCATGCGTCCCCTGGAGGAGACCGATAGCACCAGCCCGATCCTTGCTCGTCTTGAAAGGTGAGCCCCAATCTCGCATTCCGTGCTTCATACTTTTAGAACTTCTAGTGCATTTCCTAACTGCTGAATTTAGGCAGTTCAGTGGAGCAGCAGATGGAGCTGGTGGCAATTCTTGGCTTGTTATGCGCGATTCTGGCGCAATGGAGGCTATTTTTGTATCATTTCTGTTAACCAGCTTTGTGTTGCGTTTAAGTCAAAGCGATTTTCATTCCGTGAGGCCTAATCTCACTGACCGTAGTAGTGCAGATTACCCTTCACTGCTGATCATCGCTGAATAGCATCCATAGGAACGATTTTTGCAAAAAAAATTGACCTCGCGTCTTTTTTGTGCGTTGTGATGTTGCCAGACCTTTTCGCTAATTTCTGCCTAGTTTGCTAGTTCAATGCAGCCTCATTGTTTGGTGTAGGTACTTTTAAAACAGCGCCAGACTTACACAAGGGTGCTTACAGTGTTGATTTATAACGGCACTCCTTGTGCGTGCCTCCTACTCACCCTTTTCCTGCGATTGGCTTGTCACCCTTTCTGTTTGTTTTCGTGACCAAGCACAGCGTCTCATATCTGTGCCCGTTGGAGGGAACAGCGCATCAATATGTCAGTTGGGTGTTAGTGGATTTACAAAAACTACGAAATTATTCTCACGATTTCTCACATTTGCTGACCCATCAGATTCACCCCAGGGTTTAGTCTTGTGGGCTTGGGCTGTGGAAATGCTGACGTGCTGGCATCGTGCTTATCGCTTAGTGCTCCATCTGATCGCACATTAGGCCTGTAAATATCAGACACTTGTGTGCCCTGTGGATGTGGGGAAAAATGACTTTTTTAGCGTCTTTTTTTGAAGTGACGAAGTCCTCAACCGGATCCTCAATTTGTTCCTCCAGCCAGCCCCTCCCTCAGAGCCGATGTCGCCGCTGAAGGCCGCCGTAATCCCTCTCGCGCTCATCTTCCTGCGTCACCTGCTCCTGCCCACATACAGGTTGGTCGCATCTGACACTTTTTCTGCCCTGTTTTATGTCGCTACTAGTTTGGATTTCAGCGTCGGACTGACATCGGGAATTGGTCACGAGGACACGCAACGCAAGAAGCATGCTTTTAACTCCGACGGACACTTTCGTGCTTACGGTGAAATGGGCGTTGCCTTGATCGGTACCAAGTTTTTAATTTGCTCACAAACGCACACATATTTACGAAAACAGAGTTTTCTCCTAACGCCTTGCTTGTGTAAATACCACACATTTGTTGGCTTTTTAAAGTCCTCGTTTAAGTTTGTGCTCCGTCGTCGATTTGCTGCGACACTAGACCCACCCACCCGACTCGCGTCCAAGTTGTCTTGGCCAATCAGCGTGCTCCACCTACCCCGCCTCATTTGACACTGATTTAAAGAACACTTTTTGCGTAATTTTCAACCACTGGCCCCGGTGAAATTTAAAAATGCAAATCTGCAGCTGGTCGAACCACAGATTGCGCCAGTTTGCGGCCATTTTGTTTGGTAAACACAATATGTAACCTGCACTTAAACTTAAACCACCAGATCAACGAATCACGCCGGCAGAACCCTTTCATAGGTCAGGTACCAGTCGTGCTAAAACGTGGTATCTCGGTGTGGCTTCACTGAAACGTGTGTGAACGTGATTCTGCTGGTCTCAAGGACACCGGCAAGAGGGTTGTGCGTGTGCAAAACTCCCCTCCGACTGAACAAATCAATAATCATTCTCACAACTTCATTCCTCATGGGTGTGCTAAAGTAAAAGCCTTTGTTTTTCACCGCAAATCAATGCAAGCCTCGTTTACCCGCACGTGTGTGTGTATTCGTGCGTGTTTTGCCTTTTGGTGAGTGTCGCCATGACACTGGTTACATGATTTGCATATTTTCACTTATTATTGCACGCTTAACCCCCAGTCCCGCCGTTACCGCCACGTTTATCCCAACTTGGACGATATTGATTGGTTAAGTTGCTCAGTCATTCCTATTGGCCACTTTGATGTAGTTTTTCGGAGCGCCTTTAAAAGTGCAAAATGAACCGTCTTGCGGCTGTTGTGGTTGTAATGTCGCAGGACTATCTCAAGGGGTGACATGCGTTGGTCTTATCTCTAAACGCCCCACACAAATTTTGCAAACTGTTATCCTGGATTGTTTTGTGATTGATAATGATGATGATGACGATGACCGTCTTTGTTCGATTCATGTGCAAGGCATGCCTTCGTACAAATTTGCCCTTACGTCTGGCAAACTTTTATTTCTCTGGTAAATTTTGTAAGCGCTGGTCACTAATTTTCGGTATGGCCGGCCTGGGACCAATTTCGACTTTTAGTCAACTCAAGACTCGTTAAATTCAATGAGCTTTCCAAATTTGGAATGCCTACAACTACTGAAACGGACCTTATTTAGTTATTTGCAGATTAACATTGACGTGTTGGGGTGTCAACGTCCCATGAATGAGCGGCGTTAACGGCATTTTTACTCAAAAGGCATCAAACGTCCCATGCACTCAAGGCCTTGAATTAACCCCGCTAAACTTTGAATGGTAATGGCATTAGTAGTATGTTACGTGTCCAACATCCCCATGACAGTGTCCATTCGATCCCGTAACCTAAGGGCATTGTAGGGAAATTGAGTTTATCCCTTTGAGAAGGCGTGATGAAAGCAAGTTGCTGCCACCACCACCGACATCATCGTCGTCGTCGTTGGAGTTCCAGCCTGTGAGGCCTCAGATCTTCCGCGTGAACGCCGCCTTTGTGGAAAGTGGTTTAGCAATTGTGTGTTAAGCATACTTTTCGTGGAACAGTAGTTTACCAACGACAGAGGAATACTGTGGGTCTTGATAAAACACACTCCGAAATTTAGTCACGGTGATTAGTCATCCTGTATTAAACTAACTTACCAGACACAGTACGTCGCTGATTTACCCACCGAAACTTCTTTCCAGGCAAGTAACCTTGGGAACTGTCATCTTATTTTCGTGTGTGACTTTAAAGCTCTCTCTCTCTCGTGTAGCCGACAAAACAGACGAAAATGCTAATTTCGTTTGCCAGCGGCAACTTTATGAATTGGTTCATTTCAGATGTTGTGCTTGGTTTTGATTTATGATCCCAAAGTGTTCGTGTGAGGTGTCAGACTGTCTGTCTGCCTGCCTGCCTGTCTACCTGACCTCACATTGACCCCTGGTATGTGGCTCTAGTATGTAGGTTAATTGGTTTAGCCGTAACTGGAGCTTGAAGGATTCGAAGTGCCAGGGGGGAGGTGGCGTGTTTATTTATTGTTCTGCACGCGTTAACCTCACTATAATCCTGGACAAACATGCAAGTTCATTGGTCGGTGGACTCAGAGACTGGGCCGCTCGGCTCAGCAGGGAGTAAGAGGACATTGAATTCGATCAACGGTTCGCCCAGGATTCCCTGCTTCTGTGTCGTTGCCTCCGCGGTAGGCTAACTTTGACCTTTGCCCTCCAGGCACGACGTCTACGTCCAGGTCCCGGGTTTGCCTGGCCAGCGATCCGAGGGCGAAGTCATCTTCGGCTGCGTCGATTCCTCTCGCAACCTCTCCTGCCTCCTGCCTTGTTTAGCTACCTTCAAATCCCTCCTCCTCACGCCACCGCCACCACCCGCTGTAAGCCGGTGCCTTTTCTCTGTTTTCGATTTCGTAGTCTAATTTAAAGCCGATGGTATCGTTTGTTCCGTTCTAGCCGTCGACTGAGATCTCGCAGCTGCCAGCACCTCTCGGTCCGGTCCGAATCCACATCATTCGATTCCTCTGCCACCTCCTTTATAACTCGCGCGGAATGGACAGCATCCGTATTGTCAGGGAACTCTATCGGCTCGACTTATTCATTGTTATTATAGTGAGTGCGTTAGACTAGCGTCTTTTTGAGGTGACCGTTGAAACCGTTTTCTCAGACCATATCGGCGGAAGTAACTTCAGTATTGACACAATCTCCTTTTTTCGGCAGTTTGTGCCAGCCCGCCAATTCTGTTTCCGCCTGAAAATGCCGATCTCTTGGCACCCCCATGTCATGAAGGTGTTGACCAATCAGATGTCTCCAGGCCCCCGCGTGATTTAAACACCAATGAGTCGTAACCTTGCACTACTTCTAGTGGGGAGTAGAGTGTAACTGTTTTAGTTTAAGGAACGCGCATTGTAGTATGCATCAATGCTCATTCTAGCGCGATTGCTGTTTGCGTATTAGGCGTAGTCGCCTTTGTGCCGCTTCACCAGCCAATGTCACCTCCTCAAGTTCCCAATAATGACGATGCTTCTTGAGTTCCTTAGACTGCACAGTGTGCTTAGAAATGCTTCGAAGTAAATATGTTTCATTTTTTGTTGTTTGAATGAATCTAGGACCTGTTTTTCGCCCACAAATGGAACTCCCTCCTCCACAGTAGTGTGGAATTTCTCTTCCGTCTAGTCCTGCGCCGCTCGATTAGGAAGTTTAATCTCTCAGACGGCGACTCCACGTTGGTAGACGACACGCTGGTTCACAGCGGTGATCTGTCCGCGTCGTTTTCCGTCATCGAGGAGGACAGTAGTACAGGTTAGTGTGTTTATTTTTTGTCCCTGGCTTTTTCTATTCTCGAGTAATTTGACTGAGAGGTCAAAAATCCTATGATTGGAAGCCCCTAGTTCTGTTTATTGGCATTGTTGACACATTGAGCATCTCTGTACACAGCGAGATGCGCCGGTGCCTAATCGACCAATGAAAATTGACCTACTTTAGTTTGATGTGTACATTTTCAAGATCACCTTATTCTGCGTTGGCTAGCAAAATTGACCACGAGAAATAGTGTTAATATTTAATTAGCGTATTATCAAAATCATCTTTTGACACGAGTGGCATTCATTCGAACCAGCGCCTGCCATCCAGTTGCCCTTTGAGTGGAATCTTTATTTCAAACACGGCACTTCCACACACGCGAAAATCCTCACTGCGGTCACTAACAGCGCTCTGTCTACGTTTGTTAGGCCGTACTGGCTCGAGGTGGTCGCTTTTGAAGATCTTTAGTCGCAAAGGTTTGAGTTCGATTGTTAACACTAACAATGCATTGTAACGCACACACGCACACAGCTCTTTCTGTTGCCGGCATATCAACTAACTTGTCGTGTCCGCTGAGTTCAGCTCCTGTTCCACGTGTTCCTCATTGTAGACCAATCGTTCAAGTCCTTGCCGAACAGCAGTGCTGCTGACGAAACGAAGCAATCCACGTCCTTTCCTAATCCCTTCGTCGGCGTGATCCATCAGGTATGAACTGACTCGTTGTCGACCACTTGTTGGTCCACTCTTATTCCGTAGGAAGCTGGCCCTTATCCGGGGCCATCGTGTCAATTTTCTGGTCGCAAGCATTGTGTGCTGGGGGCGATGGGGAATGGTATCCTTTTTTGTTCATCTACGCCAATTCGCGCAGTAGTTCCCTCGGCGTGCTGCATTACACCTTCGTTTTCCTTACAGATCGTGGTCAGACATCGGTTCCTTGAGCGTCTGATGACCGTCTGGGTAGAGAACGAGAACGGTCGGTAAGCATAAGCTGTTCCTTTTCTGCGCCTCTTTACTACGCGCTCAAGTGCTAGGCGTGACGGAACTTTCATAGGGAAGTCGGCGTGCTGTGGAAATTATGGTCTCGTGAGAGTTCATTTGTTCTCGTGTGTATATTAGACCGTTGAAACGTGGCATTTTTCACAGCAAGAATGGAACCACACGCGTAGACGTTTTGCAACGTTTCAGAACCGTTTTTTGCCAATTTGACCGTGTCATGTGATAGTGAGCTCTCTTTCCAATGTAGCACACTTGCACACACACACACACACATCATTAATATGTCAGGTGTAATTTTGACAGATTAGAGCTTACTTTATAGTTAAGGCCTTGAGGCTATTAATTGAGGTCGCTCGTACGTCTGTAGATGGCTCTCACATGCCCTGCTAGTTTGACATTAAGCTTGCACGCCAAAACCCCCGTTTTTCTTTTTCAGCAGCGAATCGGGCTTCCGTCGCGCGGGTTACATGGGTCACCTTCGAACGATTGCCAACCTCCTCGTGTCGTTCCTGCTCCCCTCGACAGCTGGTTCCGTGGGCGTTTCACCGAACGAAATTAAGGAAGACAACGACACCGAGGACGGTTTTGATGTTGACGACGACGACGATATTGAGGTCCTGCGAGATGACGACGACGACGACGGCAGGTTGAACAACTCACCCAACAAGACCTCGTTTCGGTCGGTCGGCGACACGGAGATGCCTGCCGATGGCACAGCCAGGCAGTGCGCGGACCGGGCAGCCGAGGTTCGGCTCTGTGTTACACGAGGTGAGCTTGGCAATGACGTTTCTGCGTCTGATTGGTTGGCTGATGAGAAACCAATCACCATCATGGTTGAATCGGATCACTGTGCACACGCGGAATAAGTGATAATCAATAAAAGTACATCGAACGCGTCAGGAATTCACATTGAATCACGGAATTGTTCGTGTTTAAGCACTCCAGACCTAACGATCAATTAATTTGGACTGCTTTCTTTCTATGCATTGCTTGTCACTAACTAGTAGAACTTTCATGGTTGGCGAATTCCCAGCGAATCGTCAACCAGGTGTGCTTGTTCGTTGGCGTGAGGTTTGCACTCGATTATGTTTGTGCGTCAAACCACGCGCTTGAAAGACGCCACCTCGTGTGTTGCACACGGCGAACTTTGGCCAGGGCATTCGTGTTTGACACTGGTCCTTCACGTCTTTATTTGTGCAGCATCGATGCACACTCAAGACACATTGACGATTTCTTACACAGATTTGAGTGCATCCACGTGGGAAAATTGGCAGGAATTTGTCAGGGGCGATCTCGCACGCGTCAACCAGGCGTCTTTCATCAACTACGTAAGTTCACCATAAGCCTTCTCATTTCGTGGAGTAGAATCCGTCCTAGTTACTATTCATTTCATATCGAATCTTCTCCAATAACCACCAAATCAATTTTAGCCCCGTTTCGATGATTTCATGATCACACGGAGAAATTAACACGCTCGTTTTGTCGGATATTGTAGGATAACTTTCCCAACTCCTTGTCCTCCTCGTCCACGTTGTCCGAAAACGAGGTGAACCCTGCCCCCTCCTACGTATCGCCTGGCTCTACCCTCATGTCCTCAGTCGAGCGGGTCAGTCATACGAATAACAAACTTTACTCAATCAACATTGGGGTGTTGTCTAATATCGACTTGCAAGGTAGTTTTGAGCCTATGGGATTTTTCGTAGGTTTGGATTTGATTGGTTGATCGCAATGCGTCACCTGGTCCGTGTTGAAGATGTCATTGGTCTCATGTGGCTGGTTTTTTGGCTACAATTGCGGAGATTTGACCACACTAGGGCGTTGTCTTTATCTTGCGACGCAACCATCTCCCATCTACGCAACGTTTGCATACGTACTTTGTGCACTTAGGTAAAACATTCGTCAACAATTCTGGTCGCCTGTCCCAACACAGAACGTTTTCTCACTTTCTTTCTGCCTACGCGCCTCCAGTTTCGTGCCATTCAGACGTTCTTTCTCATGCCGATGTAATTGGATGCCTCAAGAGGGTACCACGTCCGGCGTTGCGTCGGTATGTCAGGCACTGCCGCGCGCATGCCATAGTTCTGAGGTGGACGCGTCAGTCGTGGGTGGTATAATCCTTGGTATCTACTGCACTGCCCGTAGTCTGCTAGCAATGTCTTTACTGTCACGACGCTTGCATGTTTGTTCCCTCGAATCAGTGGTTCCTAGAAGTTGGTGGATCGGCTTGGTGTACCGGTCTCTTCAAGAGGTCGTCGAAAGTGCCAATTTGGCGTTTGGGTACTTCAAACCAATCGACGCTCCCAGACATCATCTATTGGCGTGACAGCGATGAAGTCCTTTGCTATTGGCTGGTCGAAAGTGCTGTCTGTGCACCTTTTGCAGTCTTGCGACCCTGCTGGAGCATCGTGCAGCTACTTTTTACAAGTCGAATTATTTATAGCCAATGAGGGACTTTGTCATTTCTGATTCGTCCAACCACGCCGTCGCTTCCTCTTTGCACTTGTAACCCCTCCCCCTGCCCACTCCGGTCAAACCGTCTTTGCCGAGGTAGCAGTGCAAAGTTATTCTCTTTGCGCGATCGCTTCGACCACACGAGTGGCTTTGGATGGATGTGGTTGTTAGTTTGTTTTTTTTTTTGTTGAAACTCCGCGATACTACTGATTTTTTTTTGCCCAGCGGCGCAATTCGTAGCCATTACAGTGGTGTTTGCTTTGGTGTGTGTTTTAGTCGTACAATCAGTACAACACGCAGAACCTGGCCGTATCGTTTCCCGAGGTCTTTGGCTTCTCGGAGGACGAGTTCGACGAATCTGCTGATCGCTTCGACGACGAAATCGAAGGTGCCCTCTCCGATCTCGCCTTCTCATTGGCCATTCAGGAAGACAATGTGGGTGGCACCCTGCGTGTGCGTGTGTGTGCTTGGCTCATTTAGGCGACCTAGGTCAATCATTTCGCCCCTGTTTTTTGTCTATTTAATTTGGCCTTTGAGCCAATACTGTTGATCGTGACCCATGGGTGGAACCGCCTTTTTATCGGCTTTAGGTGAACCTCACTCTCCGTATTGATTTTTGTTTCCTAGGACAACAGCGCCCTATTTGAGCTGTCGTGCAACGAGGTGGTTATAGCTCCGGATGGTGAGGAAGTCGGCAACGAATCCATTGGTCTTCCGATTGTCTGCGTGGAGACCCAATCAACGCCGCCTGGCCACGTGAACGGATCGCCCAAGGGTGTTCGATCGGTCACCCCGATGCCACAGTCGAAAGCCGAGACCTGCGCGGTTGCTGAGGTTGGCGGTAATGCCGATGGTGTCACCGCGAAATCGTCGTCTCCTCCTCTCTCACTTAGCAGATTAAAGGAAGTGAGTAATGCCTAGGTTGTGCTCGGTCAACATATTTGACGGTGTTAGTGCAAACACTTGGAAATGGCTGTTTGAGTGTCTCCTAACTGAGCCACAAGCTCCTGCTGCTTCCGCGTTGAGTCTTCATGCGGTGGAGCTTGGAGTTTCGCATCTCCAACTTTTGAGGCTGCTGTCTGGGGCTCGGCTGGTCAATAGGATCGAAATCAGCACATTTTATAAGATACCACTTTAGTTTCTTATTGACGCGTATCTACACTCTGCGCCAGCCTATGCATCCTAATGAATTGATGAATTGGTCAATGTTGGTATTTTGATAAAGCAAATGTCTGAATCCCACTCATTGGCGGCTACCGTAGGTTTTCGAGGAGGTCCGCGTGGAAACAGAAAATGCGGAAATAAGCGCCGCCGCGGACGCCGAAGAAGACTTCCTTGGCTTTCTGGCTCCTTCATCGCGACGTCAAACCAACGGTTCCGTGTCGCCACCCCCCTGCACCAACAGCTTTGTTCATGAGGGCGATCTGTCGTCCTCAGGTACCGGTCCCACCCTTCCATTCTTCTCGCCGACCGATCTGCAACCGCAGCTTGGTAGGTTGCTTCTAATGGTATCACCTAAGAGCTGTCTGTTTCTGCTATCCTTCACCTCTGCTGGTCATTTTAAGCACTCGCCCCCGGACCGACTCCGAGCAACGGTCGACCTGTGATCTCCTTGGGTCAGGTCCGTCGTCTCTCCTCTTCCTCCTCCTCCCCCAACGACTCCCCTCCCTCTGTGGAGAACTTATCTAGCCCCACTTTCGATCACTGGAGCCCCGTGGAGCCGAAGTTGTCGTCGCCGATCTCCAAAATCAGCTCCCCCGACTTACCCGATGTCGAGAGTCTCGTGTTACCGCGACTCATCCTCGACGACTCCAAAATCGGCGTGGTATGGTTCTCGTCTGTTGTGACGTATCCGTCTTGTAGTCTTTCTTCTTAGTTCTGTAAACCCCTTTTGTTCTCCACGCATTCAGCGAACATCGTCCCAACTAACTTCGTCGTTCTCGTCCATGTTCCTCCGCAACGAGAAGCACGCCGTTGTGGGTGTAGCAGCAGCCCCTCTCCCGCGGCCGATTCAGCCGACGGTGCGTTCGCATCGTCTCGCACGCACGCCGCTCTTGAAGCCCAACGGCCACGTGGAATCGGCCGCTGCCGGTGAGCAACTCGTCAACGGAAGCGCCAATCCACCGGCGACCTCGAGTAGGCGGAAACGGCTGGTCAACGCCTCCGCTGATTGGACAAATGATGATGACGCTGTTTCGTGGTCCTCCAACCAAATTCCCACTACCTCCGACTCCTCCATCTTGCATCGGTCTACTTCAGAAGGCGAGGGTCTTTCTTCCCTTATTCAGGTTCCTAATCTAGCTCCCTTGGAAGCGGATTTCAACGGAGATGATTCCGCCACCGAGTAATTGCTTTTTTCAAGTTGCTGTTGAACAAGTTATCAGTAGTGTCATAACATATGCGTATATGGATGATTTTTTTATTATTTACAATGCTGTCAACCTGAGTTTCATTATTCCTTGCAGGGAGCAGAGTTTTCGTAACAATCGATTCAGGACTCACACAACTCTAAATTTGCGGGCCAACACGAATGAATTCGAAGCCGCCTAGTCTTTTGTCAATCTGGAATCTCCTCTCTTTCGATCCACACCGAATAACACTGCTTACCTAGTCCCCAGCCCTGCCCAAATAAACCCTAATTATGCACACATGCATTTGTAAATCAGCTGTGGCCCACTCGGTGCCTCAGAGACGTGGTACCCTCACAAGTGCCTGTTTTTTTCTACTCACCAAGTCACAACCCATTATTTGGTTGTACACATCATTTATGCTGGTCTTTTTGCACAGTCAACTGGAGTTGTTTGTGGAAATTATAACTTGGTAAATTTAGCCAGACGAGCTAAGATCCAGCAAACGGGAGACTCAATGTGCCTGCATGTGTGAGGTTTTTTGTCATGACATGACAGGGCCAACCGGACACTTGGGGCTTGAGAAGGACCGAAGGTGTTGACTCCATGTTCTACTGTGCATTCGTCTTGCTGAGTTGTCTTTGTTAAGAATTCGGTGGATACTAATGAATGATGTTTGGGATAAGCATGAATATCTCCGTAAAGAGACTTAAGTTGAGAGGCGAAATGTAGTCCAGAACGTGTTGTGATTGTCGACATTAGTGTTTGGCAGCAACAAATTATTTGTGAAAATGTGGTGGATCGCAGAAGATGCATGGTAAGATTCTTAGATTAAAAGCCACCAGGTTGATGAGAGAGAAGCCTTTGTTACTGAGGGAATTACTTAGTATGCTAATGCAAAACCTAAAGCGAAATAATCTAACAGAGAAAGAGTTCTGTGAAACTGCTTTGACAAAAATTCTAGCTGTGAAGCCGTGTCGTCACCCGGTGTGGCACTTAAGTAGCTCCTAAAGATCGCCGAGAGGTAGCACGTAGGCGGTTGGTGGTGTCCATAGAATATTTCAGTGCTTTTTGCGGGTTTCCATTAGCAAATATCTAAAAATAAGAAGATGCTTGCGTGTTTGAATGTGTAACGGAGGCAATAAGAGATACAGCATAAGAGGGGAACCCAAATCACTGAGAAAATTGAATGGACTATTTATTGTGGCGTAAAATGACGTTGGCAATCTGCAGTCGACAGACAACCACCTCGAGTCATTGATGCATAAACGATAAACGAGTGGACAAATGACTCACCCTTTCTGTTTAATATTCCCCTGTTGCGCACACAAAGCCACCTAGCTGGTTTGACACCAGTAAACGGTCGTGTCCACTATCGCTTCTTGTTCAACTCTTCTCGGGTTGTCGTGGTCTGCTAACTAGAGGGTTGTAAGGTAGTGTTAAATCTGCAGCTATACCAGATATATAATGATCAAAACATAACACCGGAAACGGAAAAAAATTAGACTTCAGTAGGATATTTTATAGTTATTAGTCAGAGAAACAAATAGTTAAAATAAAATGACCTTATCACTACCTATGAAACAGTTAATAAAAGCTATGAAATAATTAACGCAGATTTGTAACATTTAAATTGAACAAATTAAGACACAATGCGACATTTCACGACATTTATTCTAAACCAAATAACGCCCTCGTTTTTGCATAATGCTTTGTTAAAATTTAATTTGCCTAGTAAATATTTCCATACTTTTTCAAAGAAAATGTTTGGTACACAGTTTTGAAACAGAGTGAAATGAATTTTAATTCTATGTTTTTACTGTCTTTCTCCAAAGATCGTTAAAAAAACTGCTGCCAAATTTTTTTATAGTTAATCCTGTTATACGCCGCTTGAAACACCTTGATTCTTAAACCTGATATTTTTTCTACTGTTAAATGATTGGAGGTTAATGCACTCTGTGTATTTTGACATTGTTAAACGTGGACCAATCGACGTCAACACTACTTGTGTCACGTAACGCCACTATGGAGACTGCGCATTTTCAGTTGTCTGTCGTATCTGCGGATCAGCGACTTCCCTCCCAAATAGTAGAAGTCGAGTCTGAATGGACTACAATTGATTTAAAGAAACATCTTAGCAAAGTGTATCCGGGCGAACCTCCCATAGACAGCCAAAAATTGATTTTCGCAGGCCGCATACTTTCCGATGATTCTAAACTGAGGTCAATACTTGGACACAATTCTCTTTCGTCTACTGTGCACCTCGTTTTGTCTCCTTCTGTGGCAAATCAAGCTAAGGCTGCAATGACAGTTGGGAAGTCTGATGACATTTCGGAGGAAGAGTTGTCAGAATTGCGGGCGCAGTATTTACAGTATCTTGCTGAATTTAATGGGAACGCATGTGCGCAGCCTAATGGATTTTCTTGTCAGTTGTAGTTTTGCTCCTTTTCTATACATGACGTTTTCCAGGTTTTGTAATCGCCTTTCCTTTGTTCTAGTTGGCTCTCAACCTTCTGTGCAATGCAACGAAGTAAATTTGGAGGAAGATGATGATGATGATGACGATGAATTGAATGTGGAAATAGAGGTCGAGCAGGATGTGCAACAGCAACCGGGCAATGCCCTGCAGCGTCTTGTTGGTGCTATCGGTTTTCAGGCAGCTCAAGAGGGTGCCTTTGATCAGGATAATGAGATGGCTCCTGGGGAGGCGTTCGACCTTTTCGACTTTGCTTATACCGTCTTTCGATTAGGCTTTATGCTAGCGATTTGCATTACTTACGCATCATGGCAGCGTATGGCCCTCGTCACTGCAGTTGCTATGTATTTCTACTGGTTAGTCATCCTATTTTCATGAGTCACCTGCTGATTACCCGAACCCAATTTGGTTGTTTCAGGTCTCTAAACAATAAAAAAATTCCCACTTAGATTGCAGTCCCAGTCATTTTAAAATTCCTTTTTGTGTTGTTGTTGTTGTTTTTGATCAATTTCTGAATTATTATTTATCCCCACATTACGATTTACTCTGATTTGTGCAAACCATTTACAATTTTAGTACTTCTTGCAGTCAAAAGCGGTCGGTATAAAACTACTTTTGCAAATGTAGAATTGCACCTGGTTGTCTAGTGCATTTTGTTGTGTCTTTGGAGTTCACTTGGGGCAGCGCGATTCGTGTCGTTGGTCTCTGCTCGTTGGACCGTAACATCGTGTCAGGTCGTGGTTTGTACTCCTGTTTGTGTCCTTTTCACAAGGCCAATTTCGCCTTTTAAATATACTTTGAGCGTCTGCGAAATTTGTGCCAAGATGCATTTTTGCTTTTTAAATAATGGATTCTTGTCTTATTGCGATTTCTTTTATTTCAATGCATCATCTGAGTTTATTTATCCGGTGTACAGTCCGCAGAACCTGCTGTCAGTATTAAAACTGCAATTTTTACGACCCATGTTATTTTTTAGGCGTAATGGGGATCGTCAAAATGCCGCACACCAGCAACCCGTCGAACCGCCTCAACAAGCTCAACAGGCGCAGTGGCCAGCACCATCTGTGGATGCGCCTAACGAGAACTCAACTGTGGCCGACGCCTCCAATTCCCCTCCACAGGTAAAAAAACAGCAGGCAATTAGCTTTATCAGCTTGTTTGTGCTGTCGATTGTGACCTTTTACAACCACCAACCGATTCAAGCGTGCACCAGCAAACTGCAACATTGTTGGTTCATTTGGACATTTTAGCCTGCCACGTCTAATGGTATAGGTTTTTCCAAGATTCAAAGATGGATTAGTATCTGTGTACGCATTTGCGACCTTCTTCTTATCCAAGGAAAGGGTGTTGAGTCAGAAAAGCAACTTTGCCAACAACATGCGTACTAGTGAATGTGTGGGTCGGTCTTTTAGTCTGAAGCGGCTGCGCCAACTGAGGCCGCGTCACCCCAGACGCAATCGCAGGTGGCGACAGGTGTTGCCGGGGGACAGAGCGACGTGGAAGAAGTGGGTCGTGTTGGTAAGATCGCGGAGGCGCTGCGCGCGTTCGGAGGCATGTCAGTTCAACTAGTCTACGCCATCTTCTCTTCGCTTGTTCCCGAGCTGCCCGCGCGCATCGACTAGGCTCCAGAGGCGCTTCACCCCGCTACCTTTCGCGATCTTTCAAACCCTTACTGCACGCCCCACCCCCCTTCATCACCAGCTAAGCGCACCACCTGGCTGATTATCAATTTAGTTTGTACAAATTTATTGAGCTTCAGTTCTATCCTGCTCATACTACCATAATAAAGAGGTGCTATTTTTTTCATCGCTATACGTAGCATCGAGTGGAGGGTGTTTGTGGCACCTTTAAAATCCAACATAAAATGGGCGGATTGGGCTTTTGAGGTCTATTTACGAGCTTGTGGTTGTTCATGTGCGTCTCGCCAAAATTTCGGAGGTCGCGTGAGGTGAAGCCGGGGCGACTTCTACCGCTGCAAATCGTCAGCACTGTCGGCTAGTCTCAACGCGAGCCTAATCTACATCCGTAAAATTTGCTGTTGGCCGGCTCATCTTCGGGAATTCGCTAATTCCCGCCACAGAAATGCTGCGCCCCTCCGAGACAGACACACCGAGCAGTGGTCATGCATCCCTCACAAGCGTCTCTTTCTCGTTGATCACATCTACCTTCTCTTGGCTCCCAGCCACTGAGCAAGCCAACCTGGTAACTATCGACACCACTGCGGCAATTAGCCAACCCACAGAGCGAATGCGTGGTCACGAAAAGCCCTGCAATTCGATGACTCTTTGGTTTAACCCTTGGCTGTCCCTACTACTACTGCTGCTAATTCCTTCGACCACCAATCATTCGTGGGCTCACGTAGCTTGAACGACCTCCGGATTACACTGTCCATTCGGGGCTTCACGCTCGCCTCTAAGTGAACACGAGAAGGCAAAGCATTAACTGTACATTTCGAAGCACTGAAGTCAAAGACAACAAAGAGAAGAGGAATATACAAGTGGCCAAGAGTTGGCGGGGCTGGAGGCGCGTGCAAGATCACCTGCTGAAGGTGTGGTTGAAGTTATCCGTAAAGCTCTTCTTCGCCTCGATTCGATCAGCCTCGTCTAAAGTTTCACCGAGTCTGCGAAGTGACTTGCTAAAAAATCGAAACACACGACACCTAATAAAGCTGGGTTCTTTGCTTGCTGGAGTCACAAACGCGCGCAAACTTACGGTTCGAGTAGTCGGTGCCTCAACAACCGCGCGGCCGTTTTTTCAGTGCCAGCGATATCCTCGAGTTCGGGATAGCGCCGCCTACGTCGCTTCCTTTCGATCGCCGTTCTAGCTACAAAGTAAAAAGTTGCACCATGGGTGGCGGCGCGCACTACAAACAAGCTTCACTTCATGAAAGCGAGAAATCGACGAGCTGTTGTCATGGCGACCATGACAATTTGACGTGGCACAAGGTTCACGACTAGCACGCGTTAGCGCAGATCAGATGCTTCACACTGTGTGTGTGTGTGTGAACACGAGCCATGAATGCCGATTCGCGCACAGACGCACCCACCACAACCAGTGTCACGCGCACGAAACTGCGCATAAACACGAAATCACGTGCCAATGCCAAGGTTGGCAGAACGCACAGTTTCACGTAGTCTGTGTGGGCCCCCTTTGAAGAATAACAGTGGCTGGGGCCCGAGAATCGATACACTCACCTTGAACTTGTGCGTTCACCCGACTAATGGCCTCTGCTTCCAGGCGGAGCGCGTCCGCTTGTCTAAATGGCTGGCCGGTGACGCGGTGTCGAAGCACGACGCGGCCGTGGATACGGCATCGACCACTGGGATCGCGTCGGGGACAGAGGCGTCCCGAGGGAAGGGGCACCCAACACGCCAACGGAGGCGCCTGGTTCGACGGAGACGCAGACTTCTCGTCTGCAAGATTAGTTTCTGGAAGTGAAAAAAAACAATAAAAATAACGAGTCCATGGAGCCGAGGAGCGATCTCACTGGCCGTCTTACCATCGATGGAAGGCTCATCCACAACGCTGGTTTCAGCTGACACTCTGGACGGAGTCGTTGTCAGGGAGATGGCAGCTTCAACGTGGTCTGTTTCGGGTCGCTCGAACTCGGTGACGTCGTGGGGCTTCCAAAATCGGTGAGACGACTCGTCCACTTTCACGCGACGCGCTTCCCCATCCGGCAGGACAATCGACTCCACAGGCCTCTCGTGCGTTGGGCCTATTCTGCGCCTCCTGTTTGCACGGAAATAGAGACGAATCCACAGACGGTGCCGATGTCCGTGGCTTGCAAAATCCAGCCTGGAGCGTGCGGTTAACCCCACGGTCTCGACTCAGCAAAGCCTCATTAGGAGGGTTAACTTATAGCACCGAATACTTCGACTTACAACACGGGCTAGAGCATGTGTGCAAACAAATGGATTATTTCGACCTAGTCGGCCCTGGTTTGAAACTGTGCAATGCGGAGTTCTAATAGGCACATCGTGATGGTGAAGCATGGCAAATCAAAAACACCACTGAAGTCATGACGACTCAAGTCGAGTCGTGTACTTCGTTATCGTGCTACCACGTGACAGCCCCAACGGCACCACACACACACACACACGCGCGCATGTTCGGAATTTGTGCTGTGACATTCCTCAACTACTCAGTTAGGTAACAACAAAAAAACGCATTTAACGCGATCAACAGTTGGCATGGGAATTGGAGTAGGGTGAGTGATGCGGCTCGTCTCTTGTGGTTTGCGAACCCACGGCAAATAACAAACTTCAATTGCACCCAAATGAAATGCACCGCATTTGGACGAAACGCAGTACTCGTTGACGGGGACGCAGAGGTACGGCAGTGGAAACACGGTGCCCCTTGGTCTGGACGTGCTTGACACACACAGCTTCCAACACGTATCTAAGCTGTCTTAAACGGCGGATGGAGTCGACGTGTCAACGCCAAGACCATCACCTATGCTAGAAGGACGCCCAGAGCACTTGAACACACCCCATGGAAGGTAAATTTTCCGCTGTGGGGCACTCGAAATCGGGTATTCGCTAGAGTCCTGCCATGACACCGCGCAAAATCAAGACTTTTAAGCACAAAACGCCGTCTCACTTGGCAACTCCCAGTGGCTTCGCCCGGGCCTTGTCCAGACCGCGCTGCTGGGCCATCCGGGACAACGAAGAAGTGGGTTTTGCGTCGGTCTCCCAGGGCATGCGGTCGGTTAGACGGGCCACGGGTCTCGCAGCGGGGTTGTCTGCTCCCGCGTCATTTGTCGGCCGCGTGCAGACGGTCGGTGGGGCGCTGGAGTGAATGGAAGGCACTTCGATGAAATCATCTTCCTCGTCCTCCTCCTCCTCCTCCTCGGAATTCAGAGAGACGGGCCTCTCTGTTCCGCCGGCGTCGTCACCTCCAGCTGGACAAAAAACACACAAAGGCGTCTCAAACGAGGCGTGAACTGTGAGCGGCTGCTCTGAGGACTGGATGCAGATTGTCGAGTGCCTAAGACGCAGATCATTACCTTTAGCTGCCGACTCTTCCTTGGCTGTTTCGTCGTAGAATGTCAAAGCTGAAAATCGCCTCACTGCATTGTTCAGCCTTGTTAAATACGCTCCAACGTCCGCCTTATCGTCCTCGAACATTACCACGAGGTTGGGGTTAGCATCAAAAAGATTTGCCAACTGAAAAAGCAAAAAAGAAACAGGTTTGAGGTGGAACGGGTCAATCGGGGTCCGACTTACAAGGTCAATGTACCTCCATGTATTCGGAGAGAATGCCACGGTGGCATCTAAACGCCAAATCGGCGAATTCTTGACCTGAGTCACGCAACAACTGGACGTCGTCGTCCAGTTTAATCCGCAGCTGGGGAAGTAGGTCATCAGAAGGAATGGTCTCGTCCGCGTTGACAAAGTCAACGCAGAACGTGACGCTAATCCTGCCTTGACTTAAAAAACCGTGTTCCCGTGGATCAATTTGGCAAGGCGAGGGAGATTGGTAGGCCTCCATTTCGAACAGATCAGGAACCAGTAATTTAATTATCGTTTCAAGCGACTTGATATTTTCCTCGATGGCCATCTTGTGTTCTAAAACGCATTGAAGATTTCTCAACAAAATACATTGTACTACGTGTTTTTTTAGTAATATGAATAAAGCAACCTCGATATGTGGTCTTGGCGGCAAAAATCCTCCTTCGAATTACAGCATCTGCTGTTTGCGCATTTCTTTGCCGCAGAGCCTCAGCTTCCTGGTGCTCGAGTTCTAGTCGCCTTAGCATATCCGCTACCTCCTTCAAACGCGCCGTTCCACCTCCCTGTTTCACAGGAGTTCGCAGGTACCGCATCGCCGAGGCAAGTTGGCCTTCGGCTTGCTTGCTCAGAGTTACTGTCTCCGACGCCACATCTCGCTCCCACCGAAGCAGCAGCTTTAGCAGCTCCTGGCGAAGCTCCTCTGCGGCTAGTTTCGGTGGAGGCAGTGGTCTGTCAGACTCTGTGGTTGGAATGCAGAAAGGCAGGATGTCCTAAAAACAAAAGCACCACATCCCTCTCTAAATGAGACACGTTCGTGGGGACCAAACAATGTCTGTGTTGGGTGCGAATTAACCTGGAGTTGAAGAAGAACAGCTCCTCGAAATGTTGCGGCCAACGAAGTCGGAGTACCCGCAGGAAGCCTCATTGCATCGCAGGTCAAAAATTGGATAACTCTGAGTGCACCAAGTCTAATCTGGGAGTGAGGTCGCTGCAATTGGAGAATGAGGAGTCTTAGTGATTGGTCCCTCTCACTTTGTGATGAACTAATTGAGTACGAGAAACAAATAAAGTCGTAAATAACGCCAAATAATACCTTAAAATCAGAGCAAATGAATTAGTTAACGAGGCATTTGAAAAAAAACCAATGCCACATAAAGGCCGCAACTTGTTCAAGAGATCGAGGACTTACGCAACTCGATCGAGCAGGTCAAAGCACAAGTCCTCCTTCAGACTCTTATATCCGGAAGTAGTAAGGTGTTCAATCAACTCCGCCATTGTTTTAGGTGGCGGCGGAGAAGGTTGTGGTTTCCGTGCTCGCTTCGTTTTGAGTAGTTTCATTATAACTAAAAAATCACACAGTTTATACTACTTTAAAACGCGATGGCTTGAAAAAAGAATTGCATTTTTCTGTGTAAAATAGAGGCATGTATTTGTGTTAAGATTTGACAATCGGATCAGGGGGAGGTTTCTTTGACAGAGGTTGTTCCTACGAAGAAGGACCGTGTTAGCAAAATAAACAGATCCTACAAGCTGCCTGGCCCAGTCTTCATTGTAAGCGCTGAAGTCAGGCTGTTCCACAAACGGGAAGCAGAATTCACCAATTTTGATTAGCTGACCGAAGCGACCAACGTTTAGAGTTAGACAACCATTACGAACAGTGGTGTTTCTGAAAATGAGGAGGAGGATGAGGAGAGGAGGCATACCCTTGGATAAGCTGAAGCAAGTCAGCGGGAGCAATGAGAGCACCTTTCTCATTCCAGACAGACAGGTTGATGCTGCCAGTGCGATCGGCCACTCGCACAGTCCTAACTTCATTCCCATCTTTAGTGCGCGTTGGAGAACCTGGAAAAGGAGAAACCACTAGCACTTCTACTTCATTACCTTGAACCAAATATGAAACCCTGCCTGTAAAGTGATATAAAACGACGTTTTCATCGGAGGCTATAAGGTTCCTATCCACAGGTATATTCTTTTGCCTAAATACAAGAGATGATGTATCCTAAGTTATGTTCGAACTGCTGCTAAAGTGTTAAAAAATTATTTTTGGTTCAGGTAACTACTTTAATGCATGCTTTTAATGCTGAAGAGACAGTTCAATGTTCGTGCTTAAATAGCTGTTGAAGAAAGCATTATGAGTATACGGAAATTAAGGAATTTCCACAAGTTTTGCTTACCGACATCTAGAGCGATAAAAACAAGGGATACGCGCTTCATATTAGGTTTCAAATCTCTGATTAACAAAAACGGCTCCTTCGAATCTGACATAGCAGAACACACACTTCGCCTATTGGCCGAAGAGGGGTTATCAAAGAAATCGGTCGCACTAGAGAGGAATACAAACAACTAGGACTCATTGAATAAAAACATATAAATTATTTTGATTTAATTAGTATGGAAAGATAGCGTTCGATTGCAACAACATTTTCGGATAAATGTTATTGCGTGTGGAAATTTTATCAATATCTCCCGTTTAATAACTTCCATATGTTTTCATGGTGTTTAATATTACAACATTAAGTCTTAAAAAAATAATAATATTTATTCATTTTTTTGTTTGCGATTATTTTAAAATTTAAGGTGTTTTATTATCCCTTAATGCTTTTTTTATTTTTTAACCCCTTTCAACAAAAAAGAACATAAATTATGATTAGAAATTTTTTCTTTTCATAATTAAACGTAGACATTTGCGCCAGTCAATATTCAACCGATCAATGCACACAAAAACCAAAAGACACTAACTCATTTAAATTGTTTGATCTTTATGCTCCCATTTGCAATAACCAAGCGATAATCACCATTGCATTATTTCATACCTTGCTGATTATTTTAACTAATGTCCACATTCTTTGAATTCAGATCGTCGTTATTTAAACAATTGCCAAATCATCTGAAGAAACCTGGTAGGCCCTACGTTAGGCTATTGTTCTATTTGTAAAACATTCAAAATTACACTCAAAAAACGTTTTGATAGTGTAGCGTGCTTGGACATGGTCAGAAGGCGTAGAGACGAATAGAAAGGTTTGTTGACACAAGATATTGGCGTGGGTCTCCGGTATCGGGGTTCAGAGTCATTGGTTCTTATACACTTGGTCCGGGTTGCTCCTATCCGCTCATTGACGCCGGCCTGGCTTCTAGAAAGAGAAAGACAATCTCGTAAGGGTTTGGCTAATCGAGCTTTGGCGCCCCATTTGAAATTTAAATGCTCCTCGCAACCGGAAGTCGCGAGATGCTGCCCCCACGGCGCGACACTGGCTCTCGACCAATGACTTGATTTTAAGATGGTGTCTTTCTGCCCCCACGCTACACTGGTAACGACGACCACACACACTCTCAGATAACCTATACCACCTAATGCCTTGTGAGACGCTAGTCACCACCTACACACATTGATGTAAGATAAGGCAGAACCTTGTGCAGAGAGCCTTTACGTCCTCAGCCAACGCTTAACTGATTTGTCTGGATGTGCCCACTGTGGCGTTGCGACGGATCAGGGCGCAGACATTTTGAACCATCTGGCCTCAGCTAATCATGTGTCTCTCTTCGTTCAAATGGCATGCGAGAATGACAATCAGCAAACCAGAGAATAACACGGATGAGTGGCACTATATAATGATCGGCGTGGCCAGCGTGGTGGACTCGGATGGAAGGCGCCTGGCGCGTGGTTCTGGCTTGTGATTGGTCAATGAAGCCTGTTCTGTTGTACCGATTTTTTTTCCTATTACGGCTCGGGATTTCTACACCCGCATATAATAGCCAAGAATAAGCATCATCATCGTCATCATCATGATCATCACCACTGTGGATATTGTATAGAATGTGGTTTTATAGGCGCTTTTTTGAAGAAATCGGGGTGAGAAATTTTATTCGGATATCCATCGAAAAAGAAAATTTAAAATCCTTTAGTCTAATTTGGAGCAAGAATTTGTGTAGTTTCCTGTGTTGTCATAATATGTGATATCCCGGATGAGAGTAAATGCATTTTGATTGATGCATTTTGAACTTCATTGAGGACGATTAAGAGTAGAATAATTATGCATGAATTTGACTTTCTTCTTTTTCAACCAATTTTTTAAAGTTGGAAAAAAATGATTTGCTGTTAACAAACAGGGATCAATAATTTACCTGTGAGTGTGAATTTTAATTCTAAGGTTGTTAGTTGATTAACTTACCTTGGGTTAACTATTTATAAACTTCGTTTCAGTAATTATTATATAAGTTGAATTGATTATTGATTAATTTTAATTCCACTTATTGTCAGACTTTTTACAACGATTATTACTTTACTAAATTATTTTGACACAAATCAATAATAATCGTTAGTAAATTTTGAATTCAAAATTCGAACTTACCTAGAACACGTTGGATAGTTCATCATCAATAAATTACAAAGAACTCGGTCAATGCAAATAATTCGAAATAGCGTGGTGTAGTGTGATGAGATGCAGTGTAGTTTTGTGAAGTGTGGTGCGTTGTGGAGTGTAGTGTGCTGTAGCATTGTGTTGTGTGGTGTAGCGGAGTGTGGTGCAGTGAAGTGTAGTGCAGCGCAGTGTGATGTAGTGCAGTGTGGTGTTGTATAGTTCCGTGAAGTGTGGTCTTGTGCGGAGGAATGTGGTGTGCTGTGGTTCAACTTCAAAAGATAACTCATTTGTCTGTAATTGCAACTGGTATAAAAACTGCGTCAGACAGAGATAAATAATCAATAGTGGACGATGTTGATAATAATGATAAAAATAATGAATATCATAATCACAATCTTGGGAACATTGACGATGATAATAATGATAATCGGGAAGATGACAGCGATAGAAATGGAAATGACGATATGATAATGATGATAATGGTGATCAGGGCAATGATAATGCTAAAGATGAAAACGATGATAGTCATTATAGTGATGATGATAGGGATCTGATAGTGATAACGACAGTGATAATAGTGATATTTGCGATAGTAATGATGGTGGTGATGATGGCAACGATATTGACGGTAATGATGATGATAATGGCAGTCATGATAATGATGATAACGCTAATGACAACGGTAGTGATGATAATGTTGATGACGATAGTGATGGTAATGGTATTGAAAATCATGTAAGCGGTACTGGCAACCATGATAATGGTAACGGTAGTGATGATGGTGATGACAGCGGTCCTCGTGACAATAATAATGATAGTGACATTGATGGTAATCACAGTGCCCGCCTAACTCGTCGGCGCCTACGTCGAGATGCGCAAGGAGGCTCGTGTCAACAGGGAGATGACCTATACTAGCGCACGGTAACTACCCAAATCGCT